AAACAATCTCAAGGTTAAAACCCTGTCCCGGTGAAATAGAGATAGAAAGGTTTTGGCGTTGGAAAGAGTTTTTAATCCAGATGTTGTTGACAGAGCTGTCATAAAACTAACCTTGTACAGTAAGTTATTATTCTAATAATTTGGAGACTGGAAACAATTTCATTTTATTGAATTGTGTATAAAATAATCTTTGTTTTTAAATTAAAAAAAAATTTTACCTTCCATTATGTTCAATGGAAATTACTGGTCACTATTACCCCTAGGAAAGCATGAAGTTTTATGGTTTTAAAAATATAATATGATGTTTTCTCAATCTGGAAAAAAAGATCAAGAGAAATAGGTCAGTCAGGTTTTAAGAACACTAAATAGATTCAGCTCTCCATTAAAGACAACTGTCTGTCATGCAGAATAAACACTCACATTGTTGTTTGCAATTGTGAAATATACATTGTTTTTCATTGTATTTTTTACCTTCTCCCCAGTCTCTTTCTTTCAAACTTATTCTTATTTCAGAATTACTTCATGATAAATATTTTGGTCAAATCTCCTGTTATTCCACAGACCTATCTTATTTTCTCTTAGGGGAAAATAAGTTTTTCCTGCAAATACCGCAGGAATATTTTCATTATTATCAGTGTACTATTTACTCATGTAAAAAAATCATGTATAAAGTTATAATATGCCATTTGATTAATAAGAGCAGGTAAAAACTAAATATAGTTATAGCTGAAATAACTATTAATACCATCCATAACTAGTTTAGAAATTATATTAGATCTCTATTCATGTATATTCAGATAAGTGTACTAAATTTTTGTGTAGTTTCATCATGTAATTAATCATATCCATGTTGACCAAGTGTTGCAAGAACATAATTCTGTCATACTGGGAACATTTGTATACAACCACACTGGCTTGTAAGGCTCAAGCTGGCATGTATGCAATCCTGTTTAAACCTTCTAATAAGATAGCCTATTCAAACAGGTGATACAGAAACCTATATGCACTGGCTTGTGATGACATGGACTTTGTATGTGGAGGTACCTAACCTAAGGATTCTGGGATACCACACTCAGACTTCGGTGAACTATAAAAGATATTTCCATGATTCTGTTATATTTTGGCTTTTTTGTTTGGGTTTCTTGTCTTCAGCTTTTGATCCCACCCTTACCTCTAGCAGCCAGACTGCAGTCTTTCAGAATGTTGGAAATTTTGTTTTGTGAATAAAGATTTTTTGTTTGCTTGTGGTTAATGGTTTTTCCTTTGTTCTAAACATGTGATTTATTCTTTACTTAACAGCCCTGAACCTGCTATTTTCAGACACTTTTAACTACCTGCTGGATAATATCATGGCCAATATCTATCAAGTATACTTTATATTTTTTTCTTTATTGTACACAGGCAACACATAATTTATGGAAGAATAATATCATGAAAAATATAGATGTAATATCACTATGATGTTTTAACAGATTTTAAAATCATTAAAATCTGAGCACAAAAAATTAGCTTTTTTAAGTTGATATTACTGGTATACACTAATATGTCCAGGTACATTTAGTCTAGTAGTTATTTATGAAGGAAAATTATGAACAATCCTTGAATAAAATACAGAAAATGCTGTTTTAATGAAATAAATGCATTCTTTAGTTATTAACCAATTCCTAACTTATACATAATAAAGTCATAAATATTGGACTAACTTTTCTCTCATTTTATTACCAAAGACTTAACTTTGCATTTGAAAAATAAATCGTTTGTGTCTCTAAAACCTTTACTTGCAACTTTTGCTGCTTCAACTAATTTAGTAATGTGTTTTTAAAGAGACAGTATTTTCAGATATAGAACATATAAACGATAAAAAACTGAAACATATTCCTAAAATTTATATGTCCTACACAAGCACTGGAAGAGTGTTTGTGTGCACTATTCAGTTATTAAGTAAACTTTTTTAACACATGATTCCTTCAGGTTGTCATATTCTCAGATACACTAAAAAAACTGACAAGTATTAGCCCCTTCTAACAAGTGCTTCTTCGGGAAGTGCCATGTCAAGTGTATATCCAAGTTTAATTTAACTGAATCAGAAGGAAAGATGCTGAACAACAAATACAAACAAGAACCACTTTAGTGTTGTTCACTTAGATCATCACAGTGGACAACAAATGTGCATTGTGAATTCAGTTCCATTTCAACTGATGATCTGCCACAATAACCAGCATATTCAATACACTGAATAATGATGCTTACACAGGATTAAGGACAGGAACTCTTTTGATGAGAATAGCTTTATCTATAGTAATGTTCAATTTGATATGATGCTAATTCTCCAAGAATGAAATGTCACTGACATCATTCACCCACACACATCAAGAAAAAAACACATTTAAAATGTTTATACCTTCACAGGTGTTATTAGTCTAAGAACCTCATTAGTACAAGCTTAAGGGAATTATCTAGGACATAAGGGATCCAGAAGTATTAAGGAGGAAGGCTCTAAACAATGTGTGACTGGCTCAAGACCAAGGTTGAACACACTTCAAAACTGGTAATCTACACATTATACAAGAACATATATTTCAGTGTGCTTAATTAAGTAAGAACATTATATTAAATGAATATTCACTTTTCTAAATAAAAAGAGAAACTTCGATATTGTTCAAATACTACATCTCTCCATTCCCTTGCCTTCAGGCAGTCCTGTCCATTCTTATTTTTAGGTTTATGTCCAATAAAAAAGTAAATAATTCCTTGAAACATACTCCTTAACAATTAATTATAAACGATTACACAGAACAAAACATGCATGTTTAAAACCCTTTAACAAAGATATTTATGTACTGCATCTCACAAAAGCATAAATGGGACCCTTTTAACACTGATAGGTGTAAAATAAACACATGAAAACAACTTTTATCAGGAAAAAAGAAATTACATTCACATGTTGAACATGCTAAAACTGAGTAGAAGAACATGAGCAATTAACTTTGTACAAAGCATGCTAGAATGATACCACTAATTTTACACTATTCACCTTTTTTGTATACAAAAGAAATGCATTAATTGTACTCAAAACACACTAAAAATAACTTTATACAAAGTTCAAATTTTTAGGCTTGTGAGAAAAATATGTTCTACTTTATATAAATCACACACTAAAAATTTCATCCATTTCACACCAATTACATTTTCTTTAGTATAGAAAGATTCAGATGGACCTTCAAGTGTTATTTCATTCCTGCAAGCAGTATTTTGGGGGAGGGTATTCCTTTTTTTCTTTATTAGAAGAGGTCTTAATAATGTTAATGTCCTTGGTTTTGCCTTGTCCTGCAAAGAGCTTGAGTTATCCTGGACAGCTCATTTTAATCCTGATCCCTCTTTCCACTCTTCTGACAGATGACACAGGTTTCAGAACAGTTAATAACCTGGGCCTGCTAGTACTGTTTGGGTCTCACACTCTGTTAGAACTACAGAACGGTCAGATTTGAAATTGACTTGAAAGGATCGGAGTAAATTTTGTAGGGGGAACCATCAGAACTGAGTTTCATAAATAAGTCAAATACATTTCAATATTATTTATTAACTACGGTTTGGGCAACACACAAGTACAAACGATGTGTACAATAAATATAATGATAACATTTTTTATGTTGTTCTTGTTAAATGGCTAAGCAAACATTTATGAAAGAACAAGTTGTACGAACACGTTAATCCCTTGGTGGGTCAGTGGTAAGTTTATGGACTTGCAAGGCTGTGAGAATTTATACTACAACGCAAACTTCTAATACACATTCCTGCTCGAAGGTGTAGTAACTAACCTATTTCGTGTTTACCGTTTCGAACCACATTTCAACTCTGCATTGGTGATATGTCCTCTCCTAAATACTCTGTATTTTCTTTTGAGACATCAGCTGAGTAATGCTGAGGATCAAACAGTACACTGCTCTACGGGAAATCAGTACAGATATTCCTTTTCTAGCATCTCAACCATGATTGGGTTTGCCACCATTCCAAGCAAGTTGTCAGCACAATTAGCTCTTTTTTAGCACTCACAAAGAAATGGTGAAATGGAGAAGAAAATTTGGTTGTCTTCTCTTCATAAAGAACATCTTCTGTAATGTTACTCTTAGTGTTATGATACATCTGTTACTCCATGGTTTCCTTTTTTTATGATTTTCTTAAGAAGTTCCAATTTCGTTGCACTTTTGTGGTTGTTAGTCGGGTTAGACCAACACAGTATATTGACTGGTAAAAGTCCAGCACTTCCCGTAACTTACTACGTTCTTGCAACCATGCAAAGCAGTAGCAGAATAACATCCGGAGTTTCTTGTCTGGTGCTGACATTACTTTTCTTAACTTACAACAGAAGTTGACAATAACATGAGAAGGACACGAGAATAAATATGAGTATCTTGCAGTATTCACACAGGAATACCTCCTATTTACTATGTTCTCAGTGGGTAGGCTGATAGTGCCTCGTGATTGTACCCAGACAGCACTTCTAAGACCGCGTTACGTCTCTGGTCGTTTGTTAATTTCCCGTAAAAACTCTCTCCGAGGAACTTCAGTGATACAAGTCCTTTCTTAATTAAACTAGTTTATTCTTTCTTAATACAACTTTGCAATACATTTAATTTCCACAGTCATTTTAACCTAAACACACGCTATAATTCACAACGATTCACGCACTTTACTTAAGGTCACTACTGCTCACTTGACTCAATTATCTGTCTCTATATCTGTCTATCAGCAATTCTCTATGCCGTCACTTCTCCTTTCCGCTTTGTTTGCTGAGCTTATATATTAAAATAGAGGGCGCTTAGAAAACGCTCGGGCCTTCATGATCCTTCTAGAATCTCATGACGTGTTACCAGAATCACGTGACTTCTGCTGTCGTAACACTGCCCCTTCCTTAGTATTGTTCGTCCAGAACAATAACCACTTACATTAAATCAAGAGATAATTAACAATAACTTAATTGAATACACAGAATTTACAAACACAAAATTAAAATTCAACAAAGTCTCTTAATTTTATGGGACGTATCTTCTTCCATACTGGTCTCCATCTCGATGGCTTCTGCTTCACGTGGGGTTCATCTGCTCCATCAGGAAAAGTCCTATTGTCGGTAACAGTCACATCAGTGGTAGTAACTTCATCAAGGGCTTCACTGTTTCCCTTCTCAAAACCGGGTAGACTTTCTTTTTCGACAGTGGCTTTTTCAGGTGACATGTCATTTGTTCCATTGTTCACTTCTTTCCAACTGAAATGTCCTGGGCCTTCCCATGGAGATGACAACTTAGGAGACTTTCCTTTGATCTTCCTGGATTATACAACCACACCTTGTCTCCTGGTACAAAGCTGACTTCAGTAGATCTCTTATCATAACATAGCTTCATGGAATCAGCAGACGTTTTCAACTTTGAATGCACATGATGATGAATATCATCCATACTTTCAGATAACACTTTCACAAACTCTGACACATTTTCAGGCAACTCTTCGTTATCAGATCCACTGGCAACTGAAGTTCCCGACCAAACATCAACTTTGCTGGAGTGTATCCAGTGGCTTCATGCTCTGCTGTTCTATAGGCCATCAACAGTGGAGGGAGTAGACATCCCAGTCATCTTGGCGGCTGTTACAAAACTTTACCAATTCCTGTCCCAGTGTCCAATTGTACTTTTCTACCAGAAAACTGAAAAATTGAAAGTATTGAACATGGCCTGGCAAGACATGAGAATTTGTTTTCAGTTCAAAAACTGTCTGTTATTGCAATTACACCAAATATGTTGTCCTTTAAGAGATGTTTTCTTTATACAATTTTGACTTTATTTTTGCCAAACATCCACATTTTTTTTTACATCTGACAAATTACCACTTTGAAGTACTTTTGTATTTGCAGTTTTTATCTGTTGATTATAGTATTTTGCTGTACCACCTTCAGCTACTTTAAACCTTTTCCTTTCTTTAACGTGTCTGCAGTGAACCTCCTTTTGCTCTTGTCGTATATGTCCTGATCCAGCCACTTCAACAAAATATCACTGACTACAGTTGGTAAAATCATAAATGCAGCATGATCAAATTTGATTCTGAATTACCTCTGAAATAATAAAAATTAGACTTATTTTATTTGTTATTCTTAGATGTGTTATAATTAATTGGCAGCATACAGTATGATTTAATAGTTTTAAATTTAGCCGTTTTTCAGAGTTGGTTTAATTGCATCCAATTCCTTTAC